TTTGCGTGGATTATACTATACGCATAGGAATTATTGAGGCGTATGATTTGCGAAAAATCCGATCAGACTGCAGCACCACCTGCAGATTTCGAAGTTAAGGCAGAACCCAGCTAACCCGGATTTGATTAGCGAGCAGCCTTGATGAATACCTATTTTAGATAATATTCGCTCTCCGCCGGCTAAGCGATGTCCTGAAACTACAAGATATCTACGAGATTTGTAAAAACCGTTGCCTATATCGAGCTACAGCTGATAATATTTGAGTAGATGTCCACTGTCAAAATATGAAATTAAAGCTGTGAAATGGTACACGACAAACAGCTGTCACATCCGGTAATTAACAGCTTCAGTTATCACCTTCCTCTTGTGCTCGTGACAGGGTAAGGTGACAATAAAATGCTGGATAACAGGGACATGTAGAGATCTGTAGCCAGCTGTAGGCTCCTTCCTTCAGGATATGGCACCGCTAAAGTCAGTCTTGACGTCAATGAAGCAGCTCAGTTGTTATAATAGTCGTTAATTGGTCACGTCTCCTTATTGGACAATGCACTTTGTGTAGTGCGCCCGGAAACATTTCCCTAAAATGCATAAAAATTTACTTTATAATGATGGTCGGCAGTGATAGAGTTGCCGAAAACCGACAACCTCCATATGTGACGCTACGTAAATATGCACTGGTTATTATTAGTTCGCGCCATTGAGTGGGATAAACGATCAACTTGAAAATTAATAGGACCATACTTTATGAGCTGATTTTGGTTTTCCGTCACAATGTCGTTTTTAAAACCAAATTTCATTGTATTATTAGGTCCAAGCATTGCCACCTTGCGTTAATAAAATTTTATTGTGCCGAGAAATTGTTACGTCGTAACGTAAAATTGTGGTCCCTATCACATCTGAACAAAAAGAACAGTGATGACTATCCTTGGAAAATCGTTCCCTCTAGACCACCTCTCTGTTCTCCGAAAATCATCGCCCGGCACCAGTTCTCCTTGTCCTTTGTTAGTGTGTAAATCACGATAGTCGAGAACCGACGCGGTGCAGTGCTGCGGGGACTGACTGGGCAGTAGTCGCCCACATGTGCAGCAAGTGCAGAGCAGAGCAGAAACAGAACACAGTGGACCAGAGCAGAGAGGGCTGCTGTCTGCTGCCACCCGGTATCACCTCCACTTCATTAGAAGGGCGCCGTACTTGCCGTACACGCCCCAGACAGTAGGGCCACAATCAGCCTCGGCAGGCCGCCAACGCGCTCAGTTATAGTATCCAAGGCGGGATTCATCCTCACCAGACCGTCAGACCGAACAGCCGCCTAAACACCCACCACAAAAACAGACGGATGGGTGTTATTTCACTCGAACATCAGGCTTCGGTTACCAGACAACAAATAATCCAACAGATAAGACAGACATGAAGAACAGCGATAAGCATCATGTGATGATCAAATGCTTGTGGAGCAAACCAGAGTGACAAGACCCGAGCTCAGCCGGCAGTATTTGCTGACTGTCGTGGCGGCATGCCATGGCTGCAGTCGCAGTTGATCCGAAACCTCATGAGTAAGCATGTGACACGACAGGCCACCGGAGACTGTCGTAATGTGACACAAAGCTGACGACGCTCAAAAGACAGCTCTCACATTGCGCCCGGCGACCAGACATCCCACCTCCCGACTCTCACGGCTCAGCAATGGCCGCCCGCCGGGCAGAGGAAGCAGCGTCAGTTATTTACGTGATGTGTTGTGATGCCCGATAGCCGCCCATCGCCGAGATGCACTGCTTCCTGTGCACTGCACCGTGCTTCTGAGACGGCCGGGACGGCGGCGCCTGCGGGGCCTGGCAGGCCGCCAGTGGGTGATTACGGTCGGCCGGCTCACGGCGCTGTTCAACACGTGATGGTATGGCCACCGTCCGGGGAGCATACTGCCAGAATAAATATCGGCTGATGTGGTTAGGTGTAGACGGGTGCCTCGTTAGCCGGGCCATGCTACCGGGTCTGAACGTCATGGTTGGATACATTAACTATGAGACAGGTATGCATTGCCAGAGCGCGTGCAGAAAGCAGATCATTTGATATCCATCACCGTCCAGGAATTCCATTCCATGAAATCGCCGTGCTGGCCGCTAGTTGTCCACATCAAATCGGTAGCATAACAGGACTGGAAATGCACTTACTTGCACGTTAAGATAGAATTGATATAGTACAGTGCTAATGTCATCGTGCACTGAACAGTTGCCATGGGATCTTCATAGTGGACTACTTAAATCGGCTTATCATCGGTGATATAGAAAGCAGTGCAGAAGCGCCAAATTGAGTGCAATGTCCATTGAATGAATGCCATATCCATTGTTCATGCCGTATGAGGCAGGCGCACCAAAATGGCAAAATGCAGAGTTACCGTGGAATGATCGATGTTGCATTGCCTCCGAATCCATCAGCCCTGCCTTGAGATCAAGCAAGTAGGCTCAGTTACTCGAGCAATGGTTGTTTTCGTAGATGATGGAAGTTCTTAGCTTGTATCACAGCCTTAGAGGACATTATAATGATCATGCGATCCCATCTAACAGAACATTTCCATAAACCTCTGATGAAATTATCGGCGAAGTGTACGTAGGCTTTCGTGATACTCTGAGCGGCTGCTGCAAGTATAGGTAAGAACATAGTTGCCATGTGTTATAAATACCTATACTAGTGAAATCTACATTTGTGATATATGCTGCCGGCATAAAATTGAATGGTACCTATGCCATGCTTGTTAAAAAGCACGTGCATTGCAACAAAAGATGATTGGAAAAGGTGCATTGCATTGGATTGGAGCATTGCAAGGTGCATTGCACTTGCATTGGAAAAGGTGATCATTCATATCATCTAGCGATTGTGCATGCTTTTCACCGTGACCAAAGGTCATCGTTGTGAGAATGGAATGTGTCTAAGAGCTGTGCATAACCAAAGCGAACAACAGGAAGCAGCAACGCTGCATGCCCCACCTAACATACAATGCAGAGACAATTCAGACATTGTGCTCAGCAGCCCGCCAAATAAGCATACTTGTGACAGCTCTGAGGCCACCTCAATAATCAATTCACCACCCGGCGACTCAATGGGTGCATTACCATTTTATCGGTCCGCTGCCGAGCCCAGCTGGCTCACTGTTGACCCTTGCACCGGGCAGCGGCCGTCTGAGATCGCTCCTGACCTGTCCCAACATTGTCAGTCAGCGTGACGAATCGTTCTTCCCCGGCCGAGAGCCGGGTCCCGTCAGGTGACGGCCCGAACTATATAAAGTCAGCGAGGGGCCTCGACCCGCGAATTCGGTGAGGGTCACAACTTAGCTCATCGAGCCTTATGCGTCGTGCATGGTGCGGCGCAAACAGCGATGCATCCTTCTTGTGTAACTAAATGCAGGACATCGTGGAGGGGGAGGACATGCGATAAATATACCACAGTGTAAACCGGTGAAAAATATCTTCATATCGCTGCTCATCAGCAAAGCTAACGGCAGGAAAGTTGTGCTGCTTCGATTTGCATTAGTACCTAGCTTGCAACTAAATACATTGCTTAGCAACAACTTTGGGGAGTCAAGTTTCTGTTATCTATCGTGAGACGCAAATGAGCTGTGCTCACAGCTTATAATAAAATGAGTCAGAATAGATCAATTGAATAGCCATTGTCAGTCAGCATCGCGTGATACCTACACATCTATATTGTAGCATTCGTTTTGTTCTTGGACTATTTTTGGCCAATCATTTCCGAATACCATTAGCAGCCTCACCAACTTTCCTTCAATGTTTGACAAAATGCTTTTGTTAATTCAACAGTGTTTCTTCAATGGAGACAAATGTTGTGATCATTGTAGCTTTAGTACCTGCGCCCCTTACAGAACAGCACGGCAATTCACATATACCAGGTAATCGGTTAAGGCCCCGACAATTTTCATCAACAATACTGATTACATATTTCCTCATTACGGGCAAGAGGTCATTCACCATTACAGATTGGAGCAATTGTCGGTTTCTCTTGCGAAGTAAGCGGTAAACCTCAATAAGCTCAATCAAATCTCTCTTTTTCCAATGCCCCTCACAAACAAATGATTGGGCAGTGTAACATACTCTTCATGTCATGTGTGTAGGGTATATTCCTTGCAGATGTACCTACTTTGCACTGTAAGGTTGACATAACCGAATGTTTATTGCTGTCAAAAATAGCCGCAGTGAAATCATAGCACGTAGGCTGAACGCCTACTCCAGAGATGATCGTGGGCTAACCGGTTACGAATGTAAATCAGACAAGAGCTGTAGCTTACGTCCAGTTTGCACCTGACGTTTAGCCATTTCTTTAAGGGAGCTGAGCAAGCTCAGAGACCTGTGAACTCTCATAATCCTCTGTTTGATCTGAATGTAAGCCTCTCTGCACTGGTTCGGGACGCAGCGATGTAAACAGATCACTACTGGCATAATCCAGGATGTTGTTGCGTTAATATCTCGTAACGGATCAGTCTCCGGCTTCCGTCCACATCTGAAGTGGAGTCTGACCGTTATAAGTGGTCGGTATTGTTTGTAATGTGCAGCGGGATAGTGCTAAGTGCACGCTAATGCAAGTCAGTAACTCATGGCCCGCTTCGCTTCCCTGCGCCCGGGGCGACGCGGGCCACTTTGATGAGGAAGTTCAGAGACCGCGGTGTTCTGCGCAGTATTCGAGCGATGGGCGCTTTTTGGCAACGGCTCCCGCCATGGAGCTGCGCCGTCTCCCTCAAACCACCCGCTACCAGTGCCCCTGCACAGTTCGTAACATGGTGTAGCCTCCCCAGTCCCCAGCTCCATGCTGTGTCATGGAGAGCCTACCACGGCCCTATCTAATTGGTCAACGTCTTGAGTCGCGGGAAACTGTTCCTAATCCGAGGCCAGACACGATAAGCGATGCGGTCGGATCATCCTCCTTTTCACTTGACCGTCGCGACGAGCGACCTGTCTCTCCCTTCGCCAAGTGCATGACTCACAAAACGGGTATAAATCAGACGATGTTGTTTATTCGATCTCGAGGAACATGTGTCTAAGGAGGTGAAAACACAACGAACATCAACAAAGCCGCTATAACGGCAATACACAACAAATAAAAATGTTAAAAAGCAGCTTTGAGTAGAGCAGTGAGAACAGAGTACCCTGCTTGGCGCTGAGTTGTGTGTCCCTGATCCTCCCCGTCGGCCGGGGCGGCGGCTCTCACGCGACATTGACAACATGGTAACACAGCGGCGCTCGGACCAGCGCAGAGTATACAAAACACAGCCATGGCGAGCGTCTAGCGACGCACGGTCGGCGCCGGGTCAGTGGGCGACGGAGCCGGGCCCGGGGCTCTCGCGAGCCGCCGGTCGTCGGTCGCCGCCCCAGCTCCGGTGCCGCCGCTGAGATCGGGCTGCCTGCCGGCACAGCTAGAGGTGACTAGCGGCCGGAGGCGTCCGTCTGGACCGTGCACGAGCTCTGCTGGCTGGAGTCGGAGCTCTCGCTGGAGATGGAGCCGCGCGGCAGGCCGCACGAGGCGGCTGTCACCTCGACGGCTCGCTCCGCCTCTGGGAACGTGAAGAGCTGGCGGCGCGCCGCGGCCGGCTGCAGCAGAGCCTCCTGCACAGACGGCACCGAGCTCGACTTGCGCGCCAGGGTGAATAAAAAACTGGACGACGCCCTCTTGGCCGGCGGGAACGGGAATGAGCCGGCCTCCAGCGGGCTGGCGTGGATGGTGCCCATCAGCGGGAACGTGGTCGGGTTGGTGAAGGTGCGGCGCAGCGGGCGCGCCACGCGCGGCGTCGCGTTCGTCACCTTCATGCCAAAGAGCCGCTTCAACTCGCGCTGGGTGCGCCGGCTGCGGAAGCTGTAGATGAAGGGCGAGATGGCGCTGTTGGAGATGACTGTGAGCGAAGCGGCGTGCACGAGCGACGGCGAGAAGTTGCTGAAGGCCGCAGAGATCTCCACCACGAAGAACGGCATCCAGCACAGGAAGAACATCACAATAACGATGAATGACACCTTGGCGGTGCGACCCTCCTCGCGGTACATGAAGAGGCTCGCGTTGGAGATTTTGTGCTTGAGGTTGCTGACGATGAAGCTGCTGGAGCTGCGCAGCGTTTGAACACGCAGTGACTGGGTGCGCGACGGACGGTTCGCGGCCATCATGGGCGCGGTCAGCTCGCTGGGACCGATGCCCAGGCTGTGCCGGCGCTGACGCTCGCTGTTCTTGTGCGCGCACCGGTAGATGTGGACGTACATCCAGACGAGCGCTGCCAGCGGCACCAGGAACATGCCGATGGAGAGCAGCGGCGCATACCAGTGCGCCAGGACGCTGGCACTCTGGTACCGCGCGCACGACTCCCAGCGCTTGTCGGCGGCCGAGACGAACGGCGCCGGCACGGTGACCAGCAGACCGACCACCCAGCAGGCCAGCATGGCCACCACGCTGCGCGGCTTGGTGACGATGGTGTGGTAGCGCAGCGCGTCTGTGACGGCCGCGTACCGGTCGCCGGCCACCAGCAGGATGGCCAGCACAGAGGTGCTCACCACGAACGTAGCCACGGCGTCCACGGCGTGGCACAGCGGCTCAGACGGCGTGGCGAGCAGCATGTCCGTCAGCAGCAGCGGCAGCAAGCCGCACGCAGACACCAGGTTGATGAGCGAGAGGTTCAGCACAAACCTGCGAAAGAACAGGAGAAGAGAGGTCAGTATGAGTGTGACGTTCACGGAACTGAATAGCCGAGTCATGGGTAACCACATCCTGAATGAGATTCAGTTGAGTTGGCATTCAATCAGTAACCAAAGCTCGTCATCCCGCTGGTCGGAATTCAGCGGAATTATGCGGTCAACCCCTGTCCGTTATGGCATTGATAATCATTATGGAATGCAGCATCGTTAATAATCAATCAAGACGGATACTCATCTGAAAAGCCAGTGATCGGATAATCTTTTCTACTGTATCGGCGGCGTTCAACTCACCTATTGGGGAGGGTGCGCATGCCGCGTCTTCTGAAGAACAGCAGCACTATGAGTGAGTTGGCCACACTGGCCACGATGAACATGATGACTAGAAGGAATGCGATCACGATTGTGACGCAGGCGCGTACCACACCGATGTCAACTACAGTCAGCATCTGTAACAAAGAGAGAAAACGTTGGTTAGCATCACGTCATTCGGGACTTTGTAACGAAGCACTAACACTGCTGAGCCGGCCGTACCACCCCATTTACCGCTTTCGACACACGACACCAATCCCACTTGGCTCATTATTTCAAAACGATTCTGCTAGACATGAAAGACGTCGAATGGCTATTGCATGAGGACGTATCGGGGCCGGGTCCAGTCTCAGGTTCAGGTTCAGGAATGGGAATGCCGCCAATCGTATATCTAACTCACTGAGGGTCTATTTGTGGCGGCGCTGCTGGCGAGGCCGGGCAGAGGCATATGGATGGCTGTTCGGCAACCATGAGTGCAATGCGACAGGCTGCACTTCTCATTCAGTTCAATGCCGTTCGCTAGAATGCTTCCGATTCCCGGAATACCATCGACCACCGCATCCAAAGCCGATGGAATTTCCTCTCGAGAGAACTGCCAATCCATAATCAATGACACGCTAGAAACGGCGGTTGATGGCGAGTTTCTCGACCACTGTATAAGGCGGCACTGCCGAAGAAAACAGCAGTGCCGGCGCCCATGGGCGGGGCACTCGGAACTGTGGCGAAGCTGATCCATAACGCCGTTCTGATCTATGACCCTGATGGTATCCGCCCACAGCCGTTACAGCGCGGCGTTCATCACTGTCACGGGAAATCACAGCTGAACAGTGGCTCACATTCCCCTGATAACACCGGCGCGGCCGATAGAAACCTGCCGTGATCCTCTGTGGGATCTGAGGGGGTTTGCTGCACAGGGACACCGCACGTGGCGGTTTCTATGACGTGATCGAGCCACGTGGTGCTCTCACTTTGAGAACCCTTCTCGAGATTTTCCCACAATGGGAACTCCACGGACCGTTCGACCGCTGGCGGGCTCAGAGCATTGTCGTAAATCACTCAGACCATAAATACTCGACCACTGATATCGGTTCAGACATTGGTATGGTCCCGGAGAATCATTCAAGACCCCACTGTGCACCGAAGTATGTCGGGTGCACTAGCGCTGAGCCTGATCACTGATAACCCACTAAGCACTGCAAAAAGCAGAACATGCGAAACCGGGTTAGCCACTGGTGGCGGCGGTGGCTGCACGCGTGGCCGGGGGCCGGCCACAGACGAAACCCGCACAGTTAGCACGGTAACCTCTGAACCACACGCATACGGTAACCTGACGCCCGCCAGCTGCCGCGGTGGTCCCACAGCTGCCCGACACTCGGTCCGTCCCGCGGGATCCCTCCGCCTGCGGTACCAAGACCGAGCAGCTGTTGTTCGGGCCGCCACCCTCGCCCCTGTTGACGGGCCCAGGGTGGCGGCCGGGCCCAATCGCCCGTTCCGCTCCCTGCATATTGATAAGGAGCCGGTCGGGGGTGGGCAGCGGCTCTCTGGCTGCGGCCGACCACCAGCCGGCCGCGGCCAGAGCCGGCGTCCGCCAAAATCCGTGTCAAACCGGCCGAGGTAGTCCGGTGGGACCGGCGCCGCGGCCGCGTCCCGTCCCGTCCGTCCCCGTCCCTCAGGGATGCGTCACACGAGTACTGTCGGATTAGCCGGCGCCGATCGGCGGCTGTCTGTCACAGAGAAAGCGGCAACGGTGTGCCGAGGCTCGGAGGCAGGCAGGGACTCGGTGAAAGGAGCACTAACTGCACTGCGCGGCGTGCAACACGCGGCCAGAAGCCATGCTTACCTTATGGTGATAGATCCGAATCCTGGTGACAGCGTAGGAGCATGGCGCGCTCGCCGGACTGCTCTTCACCTTCCTCTGTCGACCTCCGCGGCACGACTAGCTCGTCGAACGCCGGCGGTCGAGCCACTTCGCTAAATCAGCCGACGATGGCCTCGGCGCGAGGCTAGTGTTAGCGGCTTGTGCGCAAGTCAAGTCTCCGGCCAGGCGCGGTTACACTGCGAGCGGGCGTTGCTGTCGCTGCCTGTAGCGCGCTGATGCCGGAGCTAAGCGTGCCCGTACTCTGGGACGAACGAGCGGCGACTGACCGGCCGGCGGCGCGGCCGCCGCCTATACCTCTGCCGCCAAGGTCCCGCCGCCGCCGCCGCCGCCGCCGCCGCCGCCGCCGCCGCCGCCGCCGCCGCCGCGGCGCGCGCGTCCGTCCCGCACTCCGCCGGCCAGGGGTCAGTCAGGTGTGTCACGCCGCGGGACGTGGCACCGGGGAGGGGGAGGGGGAGGGGGCGGCCCATACGGGACCGGCACAGTAGTGAGTCCGGCGGCGGTGGCGGCGGCGGTGGCGGCGGTGATTGTTGGGTGAGGGAAACGAACGGCGCGACTCACTTGGCTCCATGAACATTTCATTTGTATGCAGGCCGAGCAGCGGGTTTGAGAGGCTGAAGGGGACAGAAACGACTAATCAGACGCCCTATCTGTGGATTTAGAAGCGCATTGTTGTCGGCTACACCCGGAACCTTTTAATAGGAGCCCAACGTAAAGTGTCAATGTCCATCTAATCGGACGTTGATGGCCAATAGAGTATAAAAGGTTTTTACACAGCAGCAAATCCAATTCAGTAATTTAGTCTCTCAGTTACCAAAAATCCAATAGCTGTTAATGAAAACTATTATCTTTATGGCTTTCATTCGTTCCTTCATCCAATACAATTTTAAGATGTGAGCGACATCTAGCATGCACGCTGCACAGCATTCAAGAAAGAATAAACAGATAGTTACATAAATAAAGCAGCAAAAATAAAGGAGCAATTGAATCTTAACATGTGTTGAATCCACAGTTAAATGTTTCCAATTAAAAAAAACTCACATCCCTAGGTTCCAAAATTAAGCAGAGTCTGGCTATAATAAGGAAAGAACATGAAATCCCCGTATAAATGGCCACACATGTCAGCTGTTTGTCACATATATCATCAGATAGTAGGCAGCATCGCTATTAAGGAGACAGATAATGCTGCGTGAACATATATTCTCGACGGACTTCCAGGCACGGGTTAATTCATCTTAACCTTGACCGCAATACAGGAGGAAGACAGTTGTCGCAAGATTAAAATGCATTTTTACATCACTTATGTGTGTGGCAGTCATGTCTAGACTACCACACAACTGGCTACTTTAAGTGGGAATAATTGATTCATTTCAGGTAAATCAGCCGAATAAAACCCCGCGGATGTCTTATGTATTACTGTTTTTGTTATTTGGATCCAACTATCCGGATTGATTCATGCGTTAAGGAAGCGCCTCACACGTGCTTATGAGCTTGTTTTCCCATCCGGTAGTCCGTTTTCACCTGTTACCAGACCGAGACACCGCATGGTACGGCCAGGATTTAGTCCAGACGCGCCCTTCCGCAAGTCTCGGCACCCACTCGACAAATAATGAGTCATGTACTCTAATAAGACTTCCGCGTGTGAACACACCTCTTCAAAGGCATCGATATCCGTCTAGCAGATCCGGGACAAACCCTTATTCTTCATGTGCAGTGAAGAACAGCCTGGAGATGCTCGAAGTAGACGAAAAAGTGTGACATTTTATTACAAATAATAGGCAATTTGCATACATTATAATGGCCACATAAGTCATGCACGTAGTAAATTTGTTGCAGCTTAAACTTGAGTTTTTATGTTACCAAAAAAACTCCCTAATATTTTTTTTTTTTTTGCTATAAGGTTTTTGTATTCATGCTCCCACCTAATTAATTGCCATTTTGAAACAGTCAGTTAAGACGAATAAGGAAAGATGAAGATGCTAATAATCATGAACTATAAGGACCAACAAGGTCACAAACCACAGTATTGCTTTATTCTCCAACAAGTGTTAAGGCCTGGCTACACTATGCGTTTTCTTCGTGCGTTTTTTGCGTGTTTGCGTGTTTTGCGTGATATCGTTCTAGAAAAAAGAACGATATTACGTTTTTGTGATGTTTTCACCTTATTTTTTAGTTACATAAGAGTTATATTAGCTTTTGTATATAACCAAGGTAAAAATTATATTGTTTATAACTTTTTTCCTAGAACGATATTACGCAAAACACGCAAACCTGCAAAAACGCACGCAGAAAACGCATAGTGTAGCCAGGCCTTAAGCAATACGAATGCATGAATATTGAGCAGCCCGTCATGACGATATTCAATCGCTAGTGAAAGCTCCTGATAACTTTCCGCGCGGTATCGTGGCAGCCACCTTCCATTGGTGGCAGGGCGAATGTTACAGCACCTAGAGAATATCACAACAACGTTATCTGCCGCTCATCTCTTTTAGAGCTGCAACATAGCGTTTAAATCTGTTCGGCAGCGGCTTGCACCAGGTTATGACGCGTTTGCATGCAATGCTTTACAAACCACTCAGCGGAAACTCTTTGAAGTAACCGAGAGGTTTTGAAGCGTTTCGCTGAATGAACAAAACCTGACGCTAAAATCTCACTGAGCTTGCCACCGGCATCTAAATCCAGCCTTGCGCTTTGCAGATAGAGTATTCTTAGCCTTTTTTCTTGACCATGCCAAGGTAGTTTTTGAATGTCATCTGCTTAACGCGCAGGTGATCTCTTTAAAGTCACCGCTCTATGGAGTGACGTATACCGACAATACTTTGACTCTGCTCGAATACCCTCAGCCCATGTGGCCTGCCACTCAGTTCCAGTTGAGATCCTGCTATGGGTGTTGAACATATCCCTGCCTTATCCTCACATCGTGTTCGCTCCCAGTTACTAACACCTCTAAGACGGATAGCTGGACTGCAGAGCCGACTGAGGCTGCTCGGTGTCGGTGAGCGGTGCGCCACTCAGCTCAGGTCGGCCTCGTGCCAAGCCGACCCGGGCCGCCACCGACCCTGATTGACCGGCCAGTTGACTCGGCCAGTTCCGCGCGCTGTTGTTGGGCAGATCAGCGCTCATGCTACGCCCACTGCTGTCAGTCGGCTCGGTGGTCCTGATCTGACAGAAAGCACGCACATGTCGCTCCAGTTTAGACGGATGACTGACCGGATCAACCGGTTTCGTGAGCTAAGGAATGCCGAAACACTTGCACCAGGAACCAGTGTTGCTTTAAGTGCTTTTCGTGTTGGCATTAGCCATTATGTCAAGTTATTTCTGATGAGAACACGTAACAAACATGTTTTAGTCGAAAATATATAAGTAACATACACGATTGTGAACGAAAATATTATATGCAATTTCGCAAGTACACCATTTTACGCAAAAATACTTTCAAAAGGCGTCAGGCGACCTCATCATGTCAAACATCGCAAATGCAAATTGCATAAGCCATGCAAAGTCTTAAATTGGCATTACTAATCCATTTGGTTCGAAAATTAAAGTTCCCCCAGTTTGCTGAGATTTTATCGTTTATTAGCCCAATCCTTTTAGCATCCATTCGTCTCAGTGTAAACCTCTGACCATCGCCACTTTTTCACTTTTTTACCCTCCTGCTCCACCAGCCCTATACCGCTAACGGCACGTGTCCACGCATCCCCTCCTCACCGCTCTACCTCAGTCTGCGCTCAGTGCGGTAATTCGACTCCGGGCCGGCACTCTGTCCGTTCGTCTGTCCATCTGTCTGTCTGTCTGTCTGTCTGTCTGTTCAGGGCGACATCCGAGGGCGTGAAACCATCAGTCTGCGGGGGACAAAGCGTCCGAGCGACTTAATCCTCGCGACAGAATGGCCCACTCCCCGGCCGTCTAGACACTGCTCCGTTCTTTTTAGTGATCCGACTCCCACACCTGGTCCTTCCTGAGCTGTGAAGGACCCATCGGCAGGTCAACGGGGCACACGTGGCACTGACCTCATTCTGGAGGTCAGCCTGTGACCTGTACCGTTTCGTTCATTGCGCCTATTTTATCCGTTCCGTCAGTTCCGTTTGGCTCCGTTTTATGCTTTTATAGTTCTGTTGTTGCCATCTGTCCCGTGCCGTTTCATCTCATCGGTCATGTCTATAACAGTCCCATTCATAGGATAAGGACTATACATGAGGAGTGTGTAGGTGGGGCAGTTTCCGGCCGCAAGAACAGGGACGCAGCAGGGCTCAGATGTAAATAGGCGAAAGGCGGCGGGCCAGGGACACGCTCAATTCGCGGGACTCGGTTTTCGTTGAAGGAGCGGCTTTGGCTGACTGATTGTGGGGTGCCCGAAGAAGGTCTGATGATGAAGCTGAACATCGTTAGCCACTACATGTGCGGGGCTGCGTGGGGGTTCGCCGGTGGATGATCTATATGGTGGCATTAGATGTGATGAAATGAATGATTGGTATTCGACCAATCATGTGATTTAGATAGAAATGGCAGGGAACATGATAAATTTGTGAGAAATGGTCGTGAATGATGGGATTGCTGTTGCAGCAACTTACCAAATTTTCACAGGATTGCCTATAATATAATTTACCAATATAATCTGAGACAACGCTGATTGCTGAAGTAGCGGTACATAAAAAAGGCAAAATGATGCGTGCACCATTCATCTCTGATAGAAACTTTGGAGAAGTATTCTGTCATTTGTGGTATTCAAATAAGTACACTTTATAAGTTGATCATGGGGAGCACGTGCCTGAGCTTAAGATATTCAAATGTACACACTTCATAAGTCGATCGTGAGGAGCGCGTGCCTGATCTCAAGACAAAGTAGACCTTCATGATTTGCTCTCCAAATCCTTACATTCTCCAGCGAATGTATAAAAATGGCTTGGAACACGGCATCACAAAATACCACCCACGAAGTTTCAACCTGACAGTATCCTCCTTCCTCTTTTGTCTGACATGTCCAATAGAATACCTGCGCCTGCTTGATATTCGGTTCCTGTTGTACTTTCATCTTCGTTCTTTGTCGGTACAATCACGTTCATGCTGCGTGAAACGGGCTTAATTTCATTCTCGTGCTTAGTTATTATATTTGAAAACATAGAAACTGTGACCAGACCACTCAGGACAGCGCTCGTTGCTTTGAACCGGACAACGGCCATATAGGTCAGAATCGTGAATATGGATAGCAGAACACAACATTCAAGGACATTCTGGGAAGCCAATTCGACATTCTTTCGCGCTGGGAACTGGCCAGGCCACATTTTGGCAAGGACATCGCCGGGTAGTCACGTACTTCTGCTGTAGTTACA